TGAAACAGTTACAGGAACTGGGCATGGCTAGTCTAGTGAAAATAAGGACCAGGGGAGATATGACAGCAGTGTTCCAATATTTGAGGGGCTGCCACAGAGGAAGGGTCAACCTATTTTCCAAGTACCTGAAGGCCAGACAAGGAAAAATGGATGGAAACTGATCAAGGAGAGATTCAACCTAGAAATAAGGAGAACTTTTCTGACAGTGAGAACAACCAACCAATGGAACAGCTTGCCTTCAGAAGTTGTTGGAGCTTTATCACTGGAAGCTTTCAAAAAGAGACTGGACTGCCATCTGTCAGAAATGATATGTGTCTCCTCCTTGAGAGGGGATTGGACTAGATGACCTATAAGGTCCATTCCAACACTGTTATTCTATTCTATTCTTGACTTCAAGGATTGAAGGTAGTATCATTCATGGGTTTTTTTTTCTCTTTAGGCTGCAGCAATTCTTCATTTCAATTCATTTTGATTCCAATTTTCCAAATCCACAACCATGCTTATATAAAATAATCAAATACGTAGAGAACTTTTACACATTTAAATTTAACTTTAAGCTTAATACTGATTAATATTTACTGTACAATTCTTGTTGATCTGGATCAAATATACATTTCCTAAAAAACAATCAGTTCTAGTCTGAGTTCAATGTTCTAAGTAGTTCTTTCTCAGTTCCCAGTTGGAAAATTATTTTTGCATCTGAAAGACTGAGTTGGATATGGGAGGTACTTCTGATATAATGTTGGACAGGGAAAAGAGAATTACAGGGCAAAGATGGCTTAAGAAAAGATAAAAAGAACTTGATTTCTAAGGAAGATCGTGTGTCTCAATTTTGAGGGCATCTGAGATGTCTTCAGGAAGAGAGAACATGACTTTGTGATAACAAGAAAAGATTAAAGTATGCTACAGAAGATAAAAATCATAAAAGGGCATTTGTGGAAACACTTAAGATCTGGCACCAACTAGAGTGCGACGGAAAAGAGTGAAACCTAAGTCCTCACGAGTAACAATGGACGCATTGAGAAGTCATGCCCCTGAGTGGAGATGGACATGAGGGCTAATGCAAACAGGGAAGAACTAGTGATTATGAATGGCAACTACATTAGTAAATTCATTATATATATGAGCAAGGTGATAGGAATTTATATTAAATGAGGTAGGCAGTTGGGGGAAAATATAAAATGGAACCAAGAAAAAAAAGATTCTCAAACTGGAATCTTTAAAATGTGTTGAAATTCCAGTGCTATGAATTCCTAAACAATATGGTTGCAGGCTGGCTATATTTATGGGTTGTTGTTTTTTTTACAGCTGCAGCTGAGCTGTAAATTCACAGAATTCTTCAAACAGACATTCAGGTCTTTCTATTTTACATTCTTTTAACTTCCCATATTCAAATGGTTCCAGTCTGATTTCATTTGATCACATGATTTCCTGTTCTCACATTTGTATTTTGTTGTTGTTACACCTTATATTAATGTTGGTATAGCTGGCCCAGCCAGACAAGATTCTGCTGAGATGCCCTATTGCTACAAATGAGCTTCCTTTTGTTGTTTGCTTTCTTGTCTTTGACAGGTAAGGATTTACTGCTATCACTTAAATCTCTGTTCTTTCATTTTATAGAATCCGAGAGTCTTTTCTTTGCCAGATGTTAACATCAGCACGAAATTAAATGACAGGCATATTCCAAGTGACATTAAAAAGCAGCACAATAAAAAAAACTATTAGCTAGGATATTTATGACTTGGTCTGATTTTCTGTTTCTGAAAAATATTCTGAAAGTAATAAAGGCCTTCAAAAGAAAAATGTGATAATGTCACTGATGTAATTTTAGCGCTGTTGTGACTTGTGTGCATCACAAAGACTAATAACTTAAACAATATCCTTACCTCTTTTTACTAAGTTTTTGCTTGGATGGCTGGAAAATGAGTCATAGCAATTGAACTTATTTTTTGTTCGTTTGAGACATTTTGCTGCCCATCCAAACAGGTTCTTCAGTCTGTGCAAGCTGGTTAGGCATAGAGTGGTTGGAATGTACCAACTCCTTCCATGCCAAACTCAGCCTCCCCCCCCCCCCCCCAGGTACATATGTCGACAAAAGATTCGCAATCATCTAGACAGACTCAATTTCCAGACAACTCTATTTGGAGGACTGAAAATCTTCATCAATATATTGTTTACTTGATGTTTAACTACATTGTTAAGCTTAGCTGTGAATTTAGAGCTGTGAGTTTCTCATTTCAGAAGTTGAAGGGATAAGGGCACTAAAATAAAATTATTTCCCTTTTTGTATGTTTGTAATAAACATAAATCAATTTACCAGTGCCACAAAATATAAGCTGGCAAGTTAGTACTCCTTTGTTCACAACTTTTAGAAATATATCTCATTTTCAAAGCTGTCATTTTCCATTTTTAAAATAAATGTGATTACATATTCACAATGCATTGATTCACTATTAATTATGGATTCTTACAGCTGCTGCTATTGTTCAGCTGCCAGATGTGATCATTATGGAAGGGAATGCAACCACACTGACTTGTTCTCAGGTTCAAACCAAGCATACATTTATGTCCTGGTACAAGCAAGAGAAGAGGAGGGAAGCCCATTCCCAGTTCCAGCTGGTGACTTTTACATCTGAAGGTTCTCCAAGGCAATCTGTCATTGAGGAAGCCTTTGAAAAACGCTTCAAGACATCAGGGATGAAGTCACATGCCTTGCCTCTGTCTCTGGAGAATGCCCAGCTGGAAGACACAGGCATCTACTATTGTGCTTCACAAGAGCACACAGCCAAGCAAATGCTGCGGAAGCCAAGCCAAAACCTCTTCACAGGACAACCCCCCCCCCCCAGGCTCCAGAGGCTTTATAGTACAGATACAGATACCGTTTTAGACATACAACCCCCCCCCCCCCCCCCCCCGTGGCAGATACTTCCCAATAACGGACACAGGAGGGCAGCCATGAACATTTATTATATTGTACAAATATATGACACTTTTGGCTTAGCTTATCTAGGAGTAGCACCTACTCAGTGGTGATGCTCAGTAGTGACAAGGCTGAAGACATGATTCTGTATAAAGCATTTTTAGAGTCCTAATTGCTTGAAGACAGACTGCCACTCTAGCTTGTATTTGTAATATTTTATGCTTTATTTTATTTCAGATAAACCCTCAAAAGGGGGGCATATGTATATTTAATAAATATTCACAGGCAAAAGTTCTGTGCGGCACCTTAACTCAAGCGGCCAATCAAAGATAGCTCCATTTTAGAACAAACTGGGAGGTTCATATAAGTGTTTGCCTATGACGCAGGTGTATATGTGCCAGAATCCACGCTCTAAATAAAAGGTTAAAATAATTTTTTAAAAGGAATGAACTACAGATAGACCTCAACATATGACCATAAAGGAGCCTGCCCATCAGGGTCACATGTTGCAATGGCCATTAAGTGAAGCATTTTACTTAATGTCTCCCCATCCCTCCTCTCCCCAGTGCAATTGTAAAATGAATGTGTGTGTGTGTGATTAAGTGAAGCATGGGGTGCCTCTGGTTGGGGAAGACCTTGGTGGTGTAGTGCAGTCTCAGGCCCACCTGTCCTGGGCCTCCCAAGGATTTTCTCCCTGTCCCTTGGAGTTCCCCAGGACTCAGCTTGCTCCCAAGCCAGCTCTACAGCCAAGCAAGGGAGCTGAAAGCTGGTGAGCAGAAGCAACCAGAGCAGATGTAGCCAATAGGCCAAGCCTTGCTTCCCATCCATGCCACCTAAGAGACTTGCAGGATTTGTCCTACTCGTCACCCAGCTCCAAGGCCCAGCAACACGCACCTTACCTTTCTGTCTTTTGCAGAGGAACACCTCTGATAATGAAGCAATATGAAGCTCAGCTTTCTTGCAGAGATGCTGACCTCCTGCTATTCTGCAAGTATAATACTGCAAGTATTTTTCAGGAGACTGTAGAGAGTTATGTGTTTTAAGGAGGCTTCACGAACCGCACAAACCATCAGAGCCTCCCTTTGTAATGGGGCCTGCTCATTATGGTTGTATGTTGTGAGTGTTGTATGATTTTACGACCATTTTTGTGGTGGTCATGAAGCAAATATGGGGGTTGTTAAATGAACCAATTTTCATCACGGTACAGTTTTGTTGGAATGTTGTAGAATTGTTGCAAAACTTGGTCACGTGACTGCAAAGGACTGTAAATGTTGCTGAACACCCAAAGTGTTGTCACATGACTACCCTTTTTCAGGTAGGTCATAACTTTGAACAGTCAGTAACAGTCCTAAGTGGAATACTACTTAGAATGCTAATTCAGATGTTACTGTAAGAACATTTAGAGTCTAAGCAGTGCCCTGCTGGATCGGATTCCCAAGCCTGCAATTCAGCAATCTGTTTGTCAAAGTGGCCAACCAGCTCCACAAGGAAGCCAACTAGTTTCCCAACAAATGGTGTTCAAAGGCAGTTTGACTGCCATCAAAGTTTATAATCATTGATTCCCATGGGCTGGGGTGAATTCATTGGAAACTAAGTATGTAGCTATTGGGCGAACTCCTTCTAGGCAGCCTAGAGCAGTGTTTTTCAACCTTTTTTGTGCAAAGGCACACTTTTTTCATGAAAAAAAATCACGAGGCACACCACCATTAGAAAATGTTAAAAATTTTTAACTCTGTGCCTATATTGACTATATATAAAGTAATTCTCCCACGGCACACCTTACACTATGTCACGGCACACTAGTGTGCCGCGGCACAGTGGTTGAAAAACACTGGCCTAGAGAGTCCCTCTGGTCCGACTTAAAGAATCATCTCGGAGAAAACTTCTGCAAAATGTTCTGATGCTAAAACAATTTAAGTACCTTAAAGCTCCAAATGAGGCTGCAAATTCACAGAATCCTTCAAACTATCAGGTCTTTCTGTTCACCTTGCTCAAATATTTCCATTCTGATTTCCGTGCTCATGTGATTTCCTGTTCTCACATCTGCATTTTGTTGCAGTTACACCTTATATTAATATAGACACAGTTGGCCCAGTCAGAAGAAGACTCTATTGCCACAAATGAGCTTCCTTTTGGTTTTTGTCCTCTTGTTCTTATCAGGTAAGAGATTTACTGCCATTATTTAAATCACCGTTCTTTCAATTCATAGAATCCGGGAGTCTTTTCCTTGCCACATTTTAACATTTAAAATAAATGACAGCCATGCCCCAAGTGATGTTAAAAAGGAGTACAATAGAAAAATATTAGCTAAGATATTCTTGACTTTTTATCTCCAGTTTCTGAAAAATGGTTGAAGATCTGAAAGTAGTAAAGGCCTTCAAAAGAAAACGGTGATAACTTTACTAGTGAAGTCTCAGTGATGGTACTACTCATGTGCATCATGAAGACCAATAACTTAAGCAACGTCCTTCCCTCTTTTTACTAAGTTGTTTACTTAATTCTTTAACTAACTTGTTAAGCTGAGTTGTGAATGTACAAATGTCTGAGTTACTCATAAAATAATTGAAGGGATAAAAGCACTGAAAAATTCTGACACACATACACACAAACACAAATTTGCCACAATGTCACAAAAATAATTAGCTGTTAGTATTGCTTAATTCACAACTTTAAGAAATAGATCTCATTTTCAAAGCTGTCACTTTGCCTTCTTTAAAATTTTTTTTTAATATCTCCACAATGAGTCCATTAACAATTAATTAATTATGGATTCTTACAGCTGCTGCTATTGTTCAGCTGCCAGATGTGATCATTATGGAAGGGAATGCAACCACACTGACTTGTTCTCAGGTTCAAACCAAGCATACATATATGTCCTGGTACAAGCAAGAGAAGAGGAGGGAAGCCCATTCCCAGTTCCAGCTGGTGACTTTTACATCTGAAGGTTCTCCAGGGCAATCTGTCATTGAGGAAGCCTTTAAAAAACGCTTCAAGACATCAGGGATGAAGTCACATGCCTTGCCTCTGTCTCTGGAGAATGCCCAGCTGGAAGACACAGGCATCTACTACTGTGCTTCACAAGAGCACACAGCCAAGCAAATGCTGCGGAAGCCAAGCCAAAACCTCTTCACAGGATGACCCCTCCCCCCGACAGATGCTTCCCAAAAACTGACACAGGGTGGAAGCCATGAGCTATTCATTATATTATAGAAACAGTACTCACTAAGATGAGCTAGAGCCGGCTTATGATTGCACTGGTGGGTCAGAATTGCATTATATTGTCTAGGAGTAGAGTCTGTTCAGTGGTGATACCCAATTATACATCTTTCCTTTTAATTAACAGCTGCACTCGTGATTCTGCAACCAGGCATTTTCAGAGGTATAACCACTTAGAGACAGATTGCCATTGCAACTTGTATTTCTATTCTTTTATCCTTAATTTTTTATTTCTTAATTTAATTTTTTAAGTTTTTATTTCAGATAAACATTCAAAAGCAGAGTAGCCAATAGATAGATAGATAGATAGACAGATGGATGGATGGATGGATGAATAAATGGATGGATGTATAGATAGATAAGAGCTTCAGCGGTGTCCTGCTGGATTGTACTCCTGGCGCTCTGACTAAAAGTCTGTTTCTTAAGGTGGCCAACCAGGAAGTCCACTAGTCTCCCAGCAGATGGGAGGTAGTTAGACTGTCATCAATGCTAAATGCCATTGATCCCCATGAATTGGGCCAGCCCTTTTACGAAACCAGCGAAGTTGGTAGCCAGCACTATATTCTGAAATTAATTATCCTATTTACCAAAGTAGTTTGTTCATTGACACCAGTCATTCTTTTTCTCACATTCAAAAACCTAAAAGTAGGCATGTCTGTATCCCCAAACACACATTCCCCTCCCCCTTTCCATCAGGAGGAGAAAGAAGAAGGGGGGGGGGGAATCAACTGGAGGTATTCTGGGAAGGGATGGAATGAAAAAAGGATTAACAAAAACAGATGAAGGAAGGGTTAGTGTTTGTTTGAGTAGTGATCTGTATGTAGCTGAGGAAAACACTGGAAGAAATGAGTTATCTAGACCCATTTCAGTTAGGTTTCTGGCTACAGTTTTGTACCGACAGAACTTTGGTTGCACTTGTTGATGATCTGTTGTGGAGCTGCAATAATAATGGTACATCCATACCGTGATCTCTCAATGACTTTCATCACCATTGGCCATGGCATCTTCTTAGCCAGCTCTGCAGGTTGGAGGTTTGGGACCATTTTACAACAGTTCTCTTCCATTCTTGTGGCTGGTTCACATCAGTGGTGACTGGTGGGGAAAGATGTCCTCTCCCCCCCACCCCCCACCCCCCGTACAGTGCTGCAATGTTCTATTCTCTCTCTCCTCCTTTTCAACATCCATATGAGGTCATGCACTAGTTTAGTGTTTGGTATCCTCAGTAGGTTACCAAGCACACAGAAGTACATGAAAGGGTGATTTGTTCTCTTTACTAAAAAAAAAAAGGCTTGGAAACATATGCACTTGCAGCATAGAGACAAATCACCCCCCAAAGTCCAGCAACTTTGCCTTACAACAGTTCAAAATCAAAATGGCATGCAAGACAGTAGTCAGGTGGAGTCTGAACATCAGAGTTTGTAGCAGAACTTGGTCGAGGTTCAAGATGCATGACTCAAAGTAAAGAGTGTGAGTGAATGGTTGGTTTTGATGGAGAGCTTGTGCTTGCTACTCCATTTTAATAAAAACAGCCTTAGTGTATGACATTTAGAAAGGCGAGATGCCTTCTGTGCAAGCAGCCTCGTAGGGCATCTTTGCTCTACTCTTTGCAACTTACCAAATTCTTGCACTAAGGGAGGAGTCAATTTTGTGCTATCTCCAGAGAGCAATGACCTTTTTCTCTACTGCCCAGACCTAGAAGTTCATCTGATGGGCTCTGGAGCTCCTTTGACTCTGAATCTGAGCCCACGATGATAGCTGATGGCACCAATTATATCTTTTGACTCCAAACTAGCCATGTGAGGCTGTCAAGGTTCTTTCTAACTGAATCCTACCAAGACTGAATGTAGGTATTTGGACCACCTGATTGTATTTCCCCATTCAAGAATAGTGCACAATTTGAAGGTCTTGTTGGATGTATACCTCTTGCTCAATGGGAAGGGAGTAACTTTGACCAGGAAGGCTTTTGTCCATTTCAAAACTGCAGGCACCACTTCCAAAAATCTTGGTAAGAAAACTACAGCATCTTTCCAGGAATCAAGACCAATCCTCCCCCTCCACCAAAAGTGGTTATCCAGTCCATTTAGGAGAAAGGTCTACTGCCTCCCTATTTATTCATATCTTTTTTTTAAGACAGTGTAACATTTGATACAGGAGATGCAGATGATCCAAGTTTAAATACTCATATCACCAATTCACTTGTGGCTTTAGGCCAAATAATTTCTTCTCACGCTGAGAAGAACAATTTTATACCACAACTCAACAACCTTTAATGAATGCTGTGGTGGGATGAAGTCAGGAAAGCATCCTATGAATGATGTGTTTTTCAGTTTTGAAAGCTATGGGATTTGGGCATTAACAGAGAAGTAACTACATTTTTGACTGAGATTTATATGAGAAACTGAGGTTTTGGAGTTATTGTTATACGGAGATGGGAGGACATGTTTGATTGGAAATCTAGGGCTGAATAAAGGATTAACATTTTGAATCAATTTACTGGCAATGAGTATTTTAGAGATTTTGAGAGGATATATTTTGTATATAACTTAGTTGAATCATTTACTTGGCAATATAATTAAAATGTGAATTGTTAAACAATTTAGGCCAGATACTTTAGCAGGTGCATGGGCAAACAAGGATGTTTGAGAGATTTTTTTTAAAAAATTATTGCAGTAAACAAATGTTGGACTGACATTTATTATATCTTTCTGATGCCACTTTCCTTCCCAAGCGATACTGTTTTGAACCACTTCCTTTGAGAGTTTTCTTTTGGTTTTCCTTTTCCTTGCAGTAACCTTCCTGTTCTCATATCTGCATCTGGTGGCACTATGTCATCCCAACAAGACAGACCTGACTAAGAAACAACAGCATATAAATCAGGACTACTTTTATTGGGACAGGTCTAGTAACAGGATCAAGTCGTTTTCTTGGGCTGGGCTCAAGCTCCATTTATCTCATATGCTTTGCTAGCAGCTCTTCCTCCTGTTCTTCACTGTCATTCCCTATGCCCTCTACACACTGGGCTCTTGATGAGTGCCCAGGATGTTAGCTAATCTGTACTCTCGAATAAATGTCTGCTTAGCTTTCTCCTTGAGATGATTGTTTCCTGTCTGCCATGTCTAATCTGGTGAGCATAACTAGGAGAGCTAAATATATCCTTTGACTTGACGTAGACATTTTTATCAGATTCTTTAACATTTTTTTCCAGTAGAGTGCAATGTTGTAAAAATAGACACTATATGGATCTACAATGATTAAAGTTCATGGGAAATCACACACCTCCAATGCTGTTTCCCGACCTCATTTTTCAAACATTAAAGCAGCAGACATATTACTGTATGTGGACAGGTTTTCTCACTCTATTCCATAGTTAAGGGCAAGGTGATTCAAATGAGAACATGATATGAAGGAGTAAGATTAATTATATAGCTTTGATTTAAAGCAATTCCTGCTCCAACATAGCTTCCTTCGCGAATGGTATGGTCTGGTGTTTATGGATTGGATAACTGGGTAATCAAACTGGTATTATCTGGTCTGACTGGATGTTTCTCTCCATCATCTCTCTAGCAAAGATTGCAAAGAACTTCTGCCACTTGCGCTAAACAACAATAAGAACAACTAGATGTCAGCAGTCCAAATATCATCCAGAATTAAATCGGAGTTCAAGACATAACTTTCATCGAAGTTCCAATTTAATAAGACAGACATGTTGGTACATCTGTGGAAACTCGAATCTAAAAGCTTCCTGGGTTTCCACCCAGTTGAAAGTTCATGATCTTGTCTGCACACCCAAAAGTCCATCACATGGTCCAATCTTGCTCTGCCATGCTGGCATTTCCATCCATCTAGTTCCGGTCAGATGCAGAGGTGCAGAGACAAAGAACAGCCTTGGGCTTATAGAAAGGAATGTTCTATTATGACAACAACTGATTCTCCAATTCCACGCCTTACTATTCCCCTTCCCAATTACTACACTAATGAAACAGCATAGTAAAATAATAGAAAGTGTGGCAGGCCAAAGATCCTAAAAGAAATATAACTGCAGGCCTGACACTAGAAGCAGTTCACCTTGTAGTCCAGTTATCTTATTAGGCTTTAGAGCAGTTCAAAGACTCTTTTCCATGTCACGTATCCTTTTTACGTTTCTGAGCTGATTATTGTTGTGATATGTGCTCTTCCTTCACTTTCTCTAAAAGGCAGCTCATTAGAATGAGAGGCCAGCCCACTATGTAAGAACTCATTTGATCAAGGTTCCCATAACATTGTAATATATACAAGATTAAGACTTCCTTTGGCCCTAGGAACCAAATCTGGTTTACCAAAGGGAATCTTTCTTGCCAAACACTCCTCGAAAGAGAGCTTTTTATTCAACCCCCATGTGGTCTTTTATATTATTACCAAACATAGATGCCAATGATTTGCCCTTCAGAGAACAATTTCAACAAAACTTTAAGAATACAGATATGAACAATTGTCAAATGCTTCTTAGCTATTAGACAGGGATTGAAACAGCAATATTTTCCATTAGGATCTGTGAGTTGTAACACTGAAAATTTGACTCCTAGGAAATAAATCTTCTTTGCTATCAATGTAGAAATCCATTCTGGCAATTTAAGTTAGACTTAGTCCTTATTGGAATACTTGTGTCATAACTTGAACCCCTTTCTTCCTAAAAATCATAAATCATATCTCTGAGGGACTAGAGTTTAGGACTGTCTCCAATCTAGGTTGTTAGGTTGTCTGCCTATGTGAAATAAAGGGTAGGTGGCTGCCTGCAAACTCTGGAATGGCTGCTGTATGGCTGCCTGCAAACTCTGGAATGTGGCTATCACCAGCAATTTGCTTGACTCTTTCACTTCCTGGTGCTCAGGAGCATACTCAAGACTGTTTCAAAGTTGTCTTTGATGTGATATACATAACTGACTCAGACTGGGTGATTATTGTTTTATATTTATATTGCGGTTAACAAACACCTTCTGAACTCAGTTGATTGGGACGGAATCATCATCATCATTGAATCTCTTCATAAATACATACTTTTGGAAAACATTTTCTTTTGCATTGAAGGCCAATGTTTCTTCCTTCAGTCTAAAATGTTGGTTGGCAACACTGCAGTTCCTGATGGTTGGGTTTGGGAAAGGAGATTACACTAGTTGACATCTCCTCAACCTAAAATCTCCTGGGTATCAAACTACATCCTGGTGACTTCCCAAACCATTCCAGGTCCTTTGTTTAACCACAATACTGGCATGGTTGCCATTGCCTTCTTTTCACTATTGCATGAAAATTTACAGCTCTTGTAGCAGGTTAACATCTAACTTTTCATAACATGTCTAACCATTTAGTTAACTTTGAATGTGATCATTGAAAAGGATTGAAACTCATCTAGTTTAAAGGCCAAGACCTTTCCTCACCACAAAAGAAAGATACCAATCAGCAGGCTTGTCATTGCACAACTTAGTTTTTATTCTTGCAGATGTAATCTTTGTGAAATGTCAGCTACATATGTGAAAAGGGATATTTCCAGACAGGAAGTGCAGATCAGTTGGAACTGAGGGTTTGCTGAATCCAGGAAATGTAGTTGCAAACTTTAGTGTAGACACCAGGTTTGCCTTTCTGAGCACATCCATAGCCCCAAGAGACAATTCCTTGGAGTTCTCCATTGCAAACAACTGGGCCACCAGAGTCTCCCTGGGAAAGAAATGATGAACATGTATTCCACAGGCAGGATAGTGAATGAGGAAAGATAATTTGCATCATATTAGACTCTGCAGGGTGGAGGCAATCTTACAGAAGGTAAAAGAGTATTCCTCTAGTATTCCTCTAAATTAGGTGGAATAATTGCTACTAGGATAGGATGAAAATCGCAGATGTACTATAACTGTCTGGTAAGAGCTTCCTAAAAGAGATAGCATTTCACAAATTCTACCATTCCATGGACTTTTGGAAAATCTGATGCATTTGAAGCAATATAAAATTATACTGAGCAATTAGAATTATTCCTTTGTGCTGTGAGATAATATGCCATTATTAGCACAATAGCAGTGCTATTCAAACTTTGTAACTTTAAGATGTGTGGACTTCAATTCTATTCATCTTGGGGAATTCTGGGAATTCAGATCCACACCTTTTAAAGAGGCCAAATTGAGAAGCACTGATCTAAAGGAATCTGGTGGAACAGGAAGCTGCTATATGCTACAAAGCAATGTAATATCTCCTACACTTGTTGAATTCAGATCTCCTATGACCTTACAAACACACAAACACACACACACACACGCACACCTATTTTAATGTCAAGTGGGAAGAAAGCTTAAATTCAGATATGCATCTTCATACAAGGGCAGGAAATACTGAATCTCCAATCTGTCTCTTGAAATGCAGATGTAGTACATTCCCATGGAGAAATAATGTAGATCCAAAGTAGAGTTAGCAAAGTAATAAGAATATAATAAGAGCTGTTTGTTTATTCTTATAAAGATCTCCCCCAACTGTCCACTTCTCTATTATATTGTCAGGGCCAACACAAGCTAGCTATGAATTTAATTTATATAATGGTAGCTATGAATTTAATTTATATAATGGGATGTTTTTTGAGCACCATCTGAACTATATGATGCAAAATAGAAAAAAGGAAATTATTTACCTGACAAGAGTCTTTCCCACCTTCCAGGTATCCTGCACAAAACATATTGTTGGTGATAGCTCCTGGATAAGAGCCAATGCACTCACTCTGAGAAAGTACAGGGATATTCAGGCACTGTAGGAGGTCTGGATTATGTTCTGTGGGAAAGATCAAAGAAATTGTGTTCACTTTCAATTATAGACATTAGACATTCCCTGGAAAGTTTCTACAGAGCAATAGTAGAAAAGAAGCTCATCCACAAGTCTGTATAAACGTATTGTCCTAAGGATGCCAACCATCCTTTGCTTCATTGGAGAAATCTTCCAGTTGATCAAATCCTGGACTTAAGGCAAGTTCTGAGTATCTTATTGGGATACATGGTTTTACATGAGATGATCCAATTTATAATGGAATTTGTTAGGAAATGAAAGCCAAGGATCAATATCTATTACCTTCTCCCATCAATTTTGCTCAAGAAAGTCAACTAAAAATGATCACAGATGACCCTATCTTGGTTAAAGAACTTGAAGAAAACTCACTGCCACTGCTGAGGGTGTTGCCCCAGCCAGAGACTAAACATATTTCTCCGGTGGATGGACAGCTGCTTGGTAGACGGATTGCTGAAACACGGGAATTGAGACTGGCTGGTTTGGATAATTTGATGAGCATGATGTCATTGTCAAAAGTTCTGCCGTTGAATTTGGGATGGAGAATGATTTTGATTGGATCAAAGTACTGCTCGGAACCATCATCTTTGGTC